GGAGGGAAGGAGGGAAAGAGGGAGGGAAGGAGGGAAAGAGGGAGGGAAGGAGGGAAAGAGGGAGGGAAGGAGGGAGGAAGGGAGGGAGGGAGAGACGGAGGGAAGGAGGGAGGGAGGAAGGGAGGGAGGGAGGGAAGGAGGAAGGGAGGGAGGGAGGGAAGGTGGAAGGGAGGGAGGGAGGGAAGGAGGGAAAGAGGGAGAGAGGGAGGGAGGGAGGGAGGGAGGAGGGAGGAAGGAAGGAAGAAGAAAGAAAAAGCGCTACATAGTCATTGCATGAAAAAAAGAACTTTCTCTCATCCTCCACAGCAGATTAGTACTTCTGATTTTACTTCCCAACATCTTTATTTTATTTATTTATTTTTTAATTTTTTTGTGGTACGTGGGCCTCTCACTGCTGTGGCCTCTCCCGTTGCGGAGCACAGGCTCCGGACACGCAGGCTCAGAGGCCATGGCTCACGGGCCCAGCCGCTCCGCGGCATGTGGGATCTTCCCGGACCGGGGCATGAACCCGTGTCCCCTGCATCGGCAGGCGGACTCCCAGCCACTGTGCCACCAGGGAAGCCCTACTTCCCAACATCTTTAAAGCCATTCCTCCACTTCCTCTATCGCCGCTGCCACCATCTTGTCACGCACTCTAACCTGGCCTCTTCAAGTCTCGTAACTGGCCTTTCTTCCACCTATCTCAGCTCCCCTTCCAATCACACTCCACTCCGCAGTCAAAAGAATCTATTTAAAATTCATACCCAATCATCGCGACGGCCTCCTTCTTAAAATATTTCGGTGGATCCAATGCACACTTGGGATAAAGACCAACTCCTTACCATGGTGTGGCCGATTAAATGTGTGCTGAGAAGACCAGCATGGCCGCAGTGACGGGACTCCTAAAGGCAGAGCACACAAGAGGCCAATTCAACTTCCGAGGAACGATATCCGTTCCGGGCGAAGGCAGCCCAGGTGGCAGCTGCTGAAGAAAGCCCTACTCTACCCAGACGTGGAGGATACCTGTGACTGAGACTGAGCGGACTAAGAAATTAGAGAGAAGAAATTTTGGACTTTAATTCTTTGGAATTAAGAATTCTAAGCTTTGGACTTCACTCAAGTACTTTAAAAACACCCATTTACTAACCAAGAACTGCCATGTTGAGAAGTCATTATTGTCTCTCTTGTCTTTATTTTATAAATTTATTTATTTATTAAATTTATTTCTTTATTTTCGGCTGCGTTGGGTCTTCTCTAGGTGCGGCGAGTGGGGCCTACTCTTCGTTGCGGTGCGCGGGCTTCTCACTGCGGTGGCTTCTCTTGTTGCGGAGCACGGGCTCTAGGTGCACGGGCTTCAGTAGTTGTGGCTCGTGGGCTCTAGAGCGCAGGCTCAGTAGTTGTGGTGCATGGGCTTAGGTGCTCCGCAGCATGTGGGATCCTCCCGGGGCAGGGCTCGAACCCGTGTCCCCTGCCTTAGTAGGCGGATTCTTAACCACTGTGCCACCAGGGAAGCCCCATTATTGTCTCTTCATTAAAGCGGGTTCTCAAAGATACCTTTTGATCCCGGTTCGAGTCACTGTATGAATTTATTTTACAGCATTTGCCAATGCGTAATGGATTCCAAGAAAGGCTTTCTGTTATATCCCCTTCATTTTTTTGGTCAAATATTTATTGAGCACCTACTATGTTTCAGGTACTCTGCTAGGTGATGGGGTATCAATAGTAAAAAAGAAAGATATGGTTCCTTCCTTCAAGGAGCTGGGAAGTGTTCTGAAGGAAAAGAACAGGGTGCTTTGAGAGTGTATAACATGGGACCTGACCTAGCCAGAGGGGACAGAGAAAATACGACATTCTCTCTGAGACCAGAAAGGTGAATAGGAATTACCCTGACATGGCACCTGTCAGTAGGATCTTGGTTAAATGGAATATTCAAGAAATACGGTATTTAGGTTCATTGAAAGTTCTAGCTTTTTAATTAAATAATTATACCTCATTTATAAAGGCTAAAATTCCAGTCCTTTCATTTCTATTTTCTCACTTTACTGTTATAAACCCTCAATGAGAGAGACTGAGAACGTATCATTCTCTCTGGTTTTGTAGATATTTTCTGTGTCCCATCCACGTCCCTCAGCCCTTAGCATTTCCATGCACACTGGCCCTGCTTCCTGCTGCCAGCATCTGCATCTCTTTGCCTGAGCGCTATCTCTGAACACAAGTGTCTGCTTCCCCTGCCCACGTGGCAGACCTGAAGGATGAGGAACTAACCCTGTGCTGGAAGCAGCTCTGAACCAATGACTGGTGGAAGTCAGTATATGAACGACCTAGACCTTCATCCCTTAGGCAGGACAACTTGGAGGCAGGTGTTCTACTCTGGTACCTAGAGATCTCCAGAGGGATTAAGCTGCCATTGTCCACAGTGGTAACTGACTTCGTAACACACACTTCGGTGGTTGCTTTCTGCCTTGTGGCATTTCTGTATTCCTCTGTAGGTGTTTCCTGAGATCACCTCTCTAATGGTTAATTTTATATGTCAACTTGGCTAGACCATGGTGCTCAGCTGTTTGGTCAAACACCGCTCTACATTTTCTGTGAAGGTATTGTTTAGATGTAATTAACACTGAAATCAGTAGACTTTGAGTAAAGCAGGTTGCCCTCCATTGTGTGGGTGGGCCTCATCCAATCAGTTGAAGGTGTTAAAAGAAAAAGACTGAGGTTCCCCCAAAGAGGAAGCAATTCTGCTCTGGCTGGCCTTCAGACTTGAGCTGCAACGTCAATTCTTCCCTGCATCTCCAGCCTACTGGCCTGCCCTGCAGATTTCAGGCTTGCCAGCCCCCCAAATCTATAGCTATATCTATGCAAATATATACATGCAAATATACATATAGAAATGCATACATAAACAAATACATACACAAATATATACATACATGCATTATAAGTAGAACATACGTGTATGTGTATATATATCTTTGGATGCATATATTTGGATAGATAGATGGAGTTCAGCCGAGAAGCCCCATCTCCTCACTGGCACGTGATTCGGCAAACGCTTGCTTTGCCCTCCTCTTCCCACGTCCATGCAGACGTGGTGAGTCGATCTTTTCCTCTGGGCCCAGTCGTATCCTCAGAAACGTTCTCAAGCCTCACGCTGGGCAGCCTTTTGCAGTCAGTAGGGCCTGGTGTACAAGAAGAGACCCGTTCACCACCCCTGTTCTGGACCGCATGGAGAACCTCTCTGAAACACATCGCCATACTTTCTGACTTTGGTAGCGGCTGGCAGAATCTGACTAGCTCTTCCCACCTCTGACGCCCGACCAGCAACTTGAAGTGCATTGCAGACCCACACCCCACCCTGCCCGCCACTCCACACACTTCCATGCCCATTCAAGCCTGCTCCATTTCCTGACAGCACCCCTCCCCCCGAACACCCACGCCCAGGCACTGAGCTGGGAACTGTGGCACTCCCAGAGCCCAGATCTGATGGCCCAGCCAGAGCTGAGGCTAGCATGGGCCTGGCCAGGAAGAGGTGGTACTCTCTGCTGATGGGCTGAGAAAAGCAACTCAGGAGGGAATGAACTCCTCTAGACACAGGGAGTTATTTCGGTCTCTCCTTCCAGTGGCCTTTGGGGGAGCGGCTGGCTAAGAAAAGAACAAAAAAGTGTCCCAGAGCCGATCCTGTTCTTCACGAGTCCTCACACATGAGCCTAGAGCTCGTTCACATATTTGCCAAAGTGCTTGCAGATGCTGCAGCTTCTCTTCTTATGGAATCTAAGGCCACAGATTTGGGAAAGTGGATTCGCAAGATAAACGCAGCAGAGATGGCAAACCCTAGTGGGTTAAGAGCAGCAAAGGGGGCTGGTGCAGGGACCCCTGGCCCAGCTGGGAACCTTCCGACTGCCCCCGGAGACAAAGCTGCCCATGTTGGTCTGGGCGGCTCCTGGAAGATGGAGGCGTGGAAAGAGCGGGCCCCTCCCCCCTCCAGGCTGCGGGTCTGCAGCACACACAGCTGCAGCGCATCAAGACAAAAGGGAGAAAATGAAAGGGCTCTAGGCTGCAGGTTGAGCGGGACACGATGACGAAGACAGCAGGAACCTTCCACGAGAGGAAATGCTTTAGCAAACAGGGCCTGGCCTCCGAGCCCTCACCCCCACCTTTGGCCTGCTTTGATCAGCAAATCCAGTGGCAAAAACGAGGATGCTGGGAACCAGCAAAGCCGAGGCTCCCAATTCCTAGCGGAAAAACAGTCTACCTTTTCTCCTACGTGCGTACATAGTTTGTCAAGGTCACGTTGATGAGACCACAAATAGTGAACCAAAAGCCATCTGGATCAGAGATTAGGAGACCAGGGTCCAAGTGTCAGCATGACCACCGACCCCCAAGGTGACACACCCAAGGTCAAGGGCCGTCCACACGCAGGGTGATATTGCGGTAGCATAACCACTCTGAGGCTTTGTGTTTGGACAGTTGTCTGTACAGTTCACTGGTCTGAGCAAATCCTGAAAACAACCCAGTGAGACAGGCAGGTGTATCATCCCATTTTACACATGACGCGACTAAGACTCAGAGAGGTTAATGCGCTTACCTAAGGCCACAAAGCTAGTCAGCGGTGGAGTCAGAATTCACACTCTCAAATCTGGGCCCATTCTTACCTGCCATGGTTTCTCTTACAAGCTCTCAGAGAGTGATCAAAAAGTGATGCAGGGCTTCCCTGGTGGCGCAGTGGTTGAGAGTCCGCCTGCCGATGCAGGGGATGCGGGTTCGTGCCCCGGTCCGGGAAGATCCCACATGCCGCGGAGCGGCTGGGCCCGTGAGCCATGGCCGCTGAGCCTGCGCGTCCGGAGCCTGTGCTCTGCAACGGGAGAGGCCACAGCAGTGAGAGGCCCGCGTACCGCAAACAAACAAACAAACAAAAAAGTGATGCAACAAATACTTTTTCAAGCACTCGTGAGGCCCTGATCTGAGTGCTGAGTGTGAGAGGGCAGTGGTAAAGAAGATCTGACAAGGAAGATATGCCCCAGGAAGTCGGGAAATGTGTGTGTGTGAGTTTGGTTTGAGGTTCAACTCATCCGAGTCTAGTTTCTAAAGAAAGAAGGAAAATAAACCCAGGAGATTACGTTGCTGCTTATAGCGAACACAGCTCCCACGCGGACAAGAGCAGGCCTTTTGCAGGACTCCTGAGTGTGACAGCTGGGAAGGATTGGCCCCAGATGGGGAGACCCAGGCCCAGGAAGGAGATCTGTCCCAGGTCACCCCATGGGTCACGGGCAGGATAAGGGTCAAGGCTTCAATCTCAGGACTGGGAGGACAGAGATGGGAACATAGTCCCTAACCTCCAGGCAAACAATGAAGAAATGTTATAAATATGTCAGAGACCTTAATACTTACACAGCCATTATTCCATTAAGTAGCTTCTTTTTAGCAGAAGTATTCCCTGACCAGAGACCCCCTTCCCTCTTAATGTTTCTACTCCAGCAGTGGCAGCTTGGAGTGTGCAGATTCATCAGAAGGTCCCTCATCTCATGGAGCTTGGAAAAAAAGAGGAGACATACTTCTGGAACAGATGCCAGACACTGCCCGGGCGTGACACGTTCTCAGGCCCGAGAGGGGGCGTGGCTTGCACAAGGTCATCCAGCCTTCAGGCGGCAGAATAGGATCAACCTGGATCTGTGTGGGCTCTCCCGGACCCTCCTGGGAATTCTGCTTGGCCACCTGAAGGTCCAAGCTGACCCGAAAAAGGGGACCAGAGGTGGGGGGCTCATTGGGAAATCTGATTTAGTTGTCAAGACCAGAAGATAGAAAGTCCATGGCTGTGCATCCCCACTGAGCCCTGGAGCCCTCCAACCAGGTGGGAGAGCCTTGAGAAGAGTCTGGGGATGTGGACATGAATGTGTTGGGACCCCAGTGATTTCAGGAGCCCCCCGTTCAAAATGCCCTATGTTGCCACCTATAATACCAGGCAAATGCCCCTCGGCAGCCTTCACCTCCTTCTTGGGCTTCCCAGAGTTAAATCACTGCTGATCCTTCCACTGAGGGGTCTGGGTGCCCACGCCAGGGGCAGGGCCTGTATCAATGCATCCTGTATGCACAGGGCCTCCCAGAGCCCAAACCCGGTGACCAGTGGTTGAACTCAATGGAGCTCGGAATAAAGTCCCCCGAAACTGGTGTGCCCGTGTAGGTGTTAGAGCGAGGGCAGTAAACAAAAAGAGAAAAGTAGAGTATTCCCTCCAGTTGCTGCTTCTGAGACTCCTAACCGCTAGGCGGGTCTAAGGACCTATTTGTTCTCTGTCGGAACACATGGACTTATCACCGCTCACCTTGGACTAGAACTCTTGGAGCCTGGCTTCAGCCCTAACCGCTCCCAGGCTCTGAGTCCCCTCAGGGCAGCTCACTGCTACCCGACCCAAGTCACCCTGCCCGTGGAGGGTGGCCAGAATTGGCAAATCATAATCCCGGATTCCCAGTTAAGTTGGAATTTCCGATAAACAACAAATCATTGTTTAGTTAAGTATGACCCATGCGATATTTGGGACGGACTGAGAGTAAGCAATGTATTCATTGTTCATCTGAAATTCGTATTTAACCAGGCGTCCTGGATTTTATCAGGCAACCCTATTCCTGCAGCCCACTTGGTGGCTGGCACCTGCCGCCAAAACTGGTTGAGGGAGAAAACAGTAAGATATCCTGCTTTGCAAAAGTATTGGGGGATTTTCACCATATATAAAGCCTGCATCTCATGGCATGCAAATGAGACCCAGTCCCAGAGGGGGGAAAATGAGTTAGAGAGTAGTTAGAAAACAACCCCAGGGAATCCGAGACCCGCGCTTCATCTGCCGAGTCTTTTCTTCTCGTTAATTCATAACAGTGTCTTTTAAATCCTGGACTAGAATTCGAGAACAGTCGGTGTGCGAGTGTGACAGTCATTACTTCTAGAAGACGCCCTCTCCGCCAGCTGGGCGCCCTCCGCGTGTTCCTGGTGCCACAGCGGCCTCCAGTGGTCGCCCGAGGAACCGCACGCCGTCTCCACCGCCGGCCAGAGCCCGAGCCAGGCCCAGGCGGCTGCAGGGAGGAGCGGCGCCGGAGGCCCCGGGGCCCCGGCTGGGTGGGAGGATCGCAGCCGAAAGGCACAAATCCAAGCGCGCCACGTGGAAACAAAGCTCTTCCCTGCGGCTGTGAAGCTCCGACCAGACCAGGGTTATATTTCATCTTGTGTGCCAACGTGCAACGTGTCTGCTGACCCAATTTTACAGACGTTCTCTTCAAAACGGACTCGGCTTTGTGAATATTTTTCTTTATCAAGCCGTGATGATGGAAACGTCAAAAAAAATCCTTTAAATAGAGAGAAGGTTGGGCTTGGAATTGATTCTTATTCTACCAGGTGGTGATGCTTAAACGGATAGTTGGGGAGATGTGGTAACACCGCTGGAATTAGTACTCCCACCCCCAGCCCTTGCCTCTTACCTCCAACCTAGCAACAGTCTCGCTTCATTTCCGAGCAAGGGCGGCACGGCCGATCCATTATTGAAAACACACGGCTCCCAGAACCTTGTTCATTTTCATATATGCAGCTCGGGGCAAGAGGTTCTCTGCCACAGCTTCCCTTTGACTTGAAAGCAATACAAAGAATAAAGGGAAATGAAAAATATGGCCATAGAGGGGCCGGCGCTTGATCCTTACACACACACACACACACACGTGTGCGCCTTCCAGGTACGTACAAAGGCAATTTTCCGAACGGGTGGGTCACCAGCCTTTCCCCTTTCGCAAGTTGATATTCTGGCGGCTCCACAGCTTTGAGTTGGCTCGTTTGCACATTATTTCAGCTGAAATCTACCTCCTGGGTGGGGAGACCCAAGGAGAGGAACAATGCCCACGCAGCAGCCCCTGCAGCGGGGCCACGGAGAACCGGATCGGAGGTGGCGGGAGGAGAGACGCGCGGACCTGGGTCTGAGGCCTGCCCGCTCGGGTACCTGCGAGTTCTTGGCCCAGCGGCTTCCGGGCTCTGCGCTTCAGCGTCCCCTCGTGGAATAAGGAGCTGCCTGGGCGTCCTCCCAACCCGGAGTCTCTCTCAATGCCCTCAAGACGCCTTCGGTCTTCCTCAAATTCTTTTTTAGAAATTCCTTTCGTTCATTCATTTCGCAAACATGTATGTGCCTAAAATGTGCCAGGCACTGGGTTAGAAGCTTAGCATAGAGAAGTGAATAGGAAATGCCCCCTTCCTGAGAACAAGGTCACTGCAAAGTGACAGAAGGTGTACCAGGGGAGAGGTATCAACCCGGGTACCCTGCTCTGCTGATGGGAGTGTAAATTTGGGCCACCTCTTTGGAGGCCAGTTTGGCACCAGCTTCCAGATTGTCACGTGCACAGACTGCATGAGTCAGGAGCCCCAGCTGCTTGGCTGGCTCTGGTTAACTTAAGCAGAAAAAATTCTGGCTTGTTTTCTTTTTTCCAGGCTATTGAGTAACTCACTGAGTCCCAGGGAAGACTGCTGTCTCAGGCTCAGGTAGGGACGTAGGCGACCAGGCAGCTGCCATGACCATAACCAAAATCGCACCACAGAGCAGTCTGGCAATGACACTGCCGTTGTCCCTGCGGGACGCGGGTGGCCGCTGCTTGCCGGCTGTGAGCGCAGAGCCTGTGTGCTGGGCCGTGCCACCCTCGCCTCCTACGGCAAGGTGGGGAGAAGTGTGTCTGCTTAGCTGGGTAGACGTTGTATACCCGCTCTCTAGCCACAAGGAAGCCACAGGGAAGGTGAGGATATTTTCTGCTACTCCGATGGCAAGTGGGCTGTGCCTCCCACCCAAAAAAAAGAGCGTGGGGAATTGCCGCAGCAGAGGAAGACGTTTACTACGCTGGTGGCCAAAATTATGACAAATGTCTTCCACACGTGCCTTTGACCTGGAAATTCCATTTCTACAAGTTAATCCTTTAGTGTTACATTAATACTTACACAGGTGCTCATTTATCCCACGAACATTTGTTGTGTGTGCTACCATGTGCTAGGCACTAGGAGATAAGGGCACAAAAATGGACACTCTGTACCCCCGTGGAGCTTCCCGTGAAAACAGATACAAATGAAGTCATTCCCGAAATGAGTGTGAAAGTACAAGTGAGCTGAGGGCTACGAGGGAGTGGGGTGGGTATGATGCAGCAGGGAAGGATGCTCTTGGGACGGGAGGGTCCAGCTGGCCTTGAGGACAGAGGAGTCAGGATGGGGGAGACATGGCAGGTCTGTAGGGGCCAAACCACGAAGGGTCTACACGAAGGCCAGGTTGAAGTGTTTTCTGCATGTCCTTGTTTCACTTGGGAAGCCACTGAAACATTTGGAGGTGAGGGAGGTGAAAAGAGTGACACGATCAGATTTGCATTTTGCAAAGATCAGAACTGTGTGAACTGGACTGCAGTGCAGCAGGAGGGGGAGATCCCTTAGGAAGTGGCTGCGCGTCCAAGTGACTGGAGATGGTGGCATGGACGGTATGAATGTCAAGGCTGGGAAGAGCAGCAGTCTTGATGTTAACCTTTGTAGAAATATTCACATGGATTAGGTGCCACGAGAGACGAAGGACACACCGAGGTTTCCGGCTTTGTCCTCCAGGAGACAGCATCACGTGCTCACATCGTGTTATACATAGAAAGTTGGGGTTGGGGAAGACCTTAGAAATCATGCAGCGTGAAAAGCAGGCTGTAAAACAGTATGGAGAAAAACAGGATGCAGAACAGGGTCCAATTGTTGCATATATTGTGCACAGGAAGGGAGGGCTATGCCGAGC